ATTATAAGAGTTTTGTTGATGAAAAATAAAAATTGATTCGTTGGTGGAAAATAAAAATTGTAAGAACAAAATGGTCAATTTAATGGTAAGTCACTGATTTTTTTTTAATATAATTGAATGTTATTTTCACTCTTCATATTAATTCCAATCCAAAATGATAAATATCAATTAAATATTTCACTCCTTATTTATTATTAATTCTAAACCATGTGATAAATACTAATTAAATTGGTATTCCAATTATGATGATATAGTTGGCATATAGTTAAATATGTTGAGGATAAATGTGGTATTTTAAAGTTCCTCCACCATTCCTACTTTTAATATATTGTAGGTAGATTCGTGTATTGTTTTCTAGAAGACGGAATTAAAATGGTTGGAGAAATTTGGGGAATATAATTAAGATCTCAAGTTTTGTTATATTGTCAATGCAACTCACGAATCGGTTTTTTTTTCTTTGTTGTTGTTTATATTGTGGTCATTGATTAGAAAAAGAAAGAAAAAATATTTCTTCACTCAATAAGAGTAAAAACCAAAAAAGTAAGAAAATTATGAAATGATATTTCTTGACAGAAGTCAAGAATAAACATTTTTTCATGAAGATGAGAATTATTGAAGGGGGTAAATGGAGAGGAAGGAGATGTATATATGCAAACAGGGATGGAAGAGCACAAGGTGTCAAGGCCATGAATTGGTATGATACCAATGCTACGTTATTTTATTCTTTTTTGAGAAATGCTATTTGTAAATTCAAGTGTACACCGGAGTGTACGTATAGCAAAACCCTTCTTTTTTTAATTTATTTTGTATTTTTTTTTCTTTGAATATTCTGTTGTACAAAGAGGCTTTTGCATATGTTTATGGGGTTAGAAAAATTCAAATTGGATGTGGAATTTCATAGTGAAGTTGAAGCTATGATTAATTAACTACATTTATTTTAATTGTCATGTAATATTTTTGTTGTATTAATACGTTCTACCTTCTTTTATAGGAAGCAATCTTTTTGTTGATGGTGATAAATAATACTTATTACATATCACATGAAATCCATAAAAGAAAATATAGTATTTAAAGCGTCATGATAATTATTTCTTATATGTTGGCCCGATCCTCCTCAAAACGAGTTCGAGCTAACCATTGATTGAGCTAGGACAAATTGAGCTAACGAGATAGTAACATATGATAGATCCAGTTAAATGGATAATATCTCATTGAATTTAAATCAAATTATCATTTAATATTGTATATATTGCCGCTTAAAATATATTAATACTAATTGCATCACTCACTATTACAGTCATCTCGCGTGACATCTATGTGTCAATTAGTAATTTGATAAATGAGATAGGAAAAATCACTACATTAATATATCAAATCACAAACTGTCATGTAGGATGTGATATAGAACGACTATCGCAGTGAAAGAATATGAATAACATTACTCTGCAAAATAATGATAAAAACCTATAAAGTTAGATAATATTACTCATATAAAATTCACACTTAATAATTCAAAATATTCTTTATTTTTAAGAAGTCAAGTAATGAATTGGCTAGTTTGCTGCATTTATTGTCTAAGTATATAATTTTATTTCTTGATTTATAACAGTATAATATTAATAGTAAGTAATGAAATTCTTCACCCCAAATACAACTTCAATTTTAGAGATCCGACCAAATTAAGTGAAGGGTTTGACATCAAAACAATTGCAAATAAATAATCAATCGCAGTATGATAAGATGCTTCCATTTTATGTATGAAACTAAGTCCATGTTTGATAATAACTAAAATATAGATTTTAATTTAAGTTAATTTTAAATACATATTTTAAGGAATTTATAATTCTTTAACTACACATGACCTTTTTTTTTTTAATCAAAATCTACTAAAAATGTAATTTTAATCTTCATCAAATAATGACTAAAGAAGAAATGAAATAAATAAATAAATAAATCTTGTAAAGGGCCCATCACGTGAAACTACAAACAATATCGACATTGATATAAACTAGCCGTAACACTGATACTCACTCGCCCGCCATTGCCAACCCCATGTGAGTTGTGACTAAGAGACGGTCTGATGGCCATTTTTTGTAAAATAAAAAATAAAAAATAAAATTGAAATAATGATTTGATGGAGAATGTGTGGTTAAAAATAAGGAAATTTTTTGAATTTATGTGTAATATTATTTTATTGAAAAATATATGGTTGAAAAGAAAGAAGAAAAAAATGTATTTTGAGAAAAATTGAAATCAAACAATGACTAAGGTCATGTTTGGTACCCATTTTTATAAGAAAGAGAATTAAAAATATAGTCATTAAGGGATTTACACAAAAGATAGAAAGTCAAATATGATTACTTGATATGATAGATAACGATCATATTTTTCATTTTTATTGCTAAAGAATGAGAATCAATCAAAAAATATGAGAATCTTGCAGAAAATGGTCAATTGTCGGACGGACGAGTTTCATCTCAGATAAAGTTCATTTTAGGTTTATTTTTCAAAAACTAATTTTTTTAAAGATTTATTTTCAACTGCATATTTTTCAAAAAAATAATTTTACACATGAACCAAAAAATTTTCTTTATTTTTTTTAAACGCACATTCTTCACAAATCACTATTTCAAAACCCATTTCTCCCAAAAATGAATCTCAAACAGGGGATTATTTTGTTTACTTAACTTCCAAAGAATCTCAATTGTGTGACTGAATTCCACTTCGTTTCAAATTACAGGACCACGACACATTAGTATCTCATCAAAATTAACCAACAATGCTTACTTGACACAATAGAAACTACGCGTATTTGTGCATAAAGTGGTGTGTCATGTTGGTCCTCTATTGTCATGAATTTTTGGGAGGCGATACTGAAATAAAAATATTGCCATTTTGGGCTCCTTTCCCCTGTTTTTACTTAGGTCCTGTTTGACCTACATTTTTTTTTCAAAAAAATACATTCTTAAATAGTGATTTGACATCATTTCTATCACACATTCTTCAATAAAATATTATCATATGCAAATCCAATTTTTTCTTATTTTTTAACCATACATTTTTCATTAATACACTATTCAAAAATGTATTCTTATGAAAATAATGTGACTCAAACGAGGGCTTATTTTTCAATACAATTTAAATTAAAAAAAAAAAAAAAGAATGGAGCAAGGACGAGTGTTCCATCTCTGATTCTTTGACAAGCTCGGCCACCAAATTATCAATTCACATCCAGATATCAAATAATTGACAAGTTTCAACTAGTTTCATACTATTCCCACTAAGCCCCTGTTTGGCCCCCATTACGTGGAAAAATTAATAGGTGGAATAGTGCTTTTTTGAAAAATGAGTGGTTGAAAAAGAATGAAAAGTTTTTGATTTACGTGTAATATTATTTTATAAAAGATTGTGTGGTTGAAAGTAGGAGAGAGAAAAATGAAATGTAATGGAATGAAAATTAATGGGGCTCAAACAGGGGCTAAATTAAATGCAGTTTTCAAACTAACTCTCACACGATAAAACTTGATGGAGATCAACCCTTGTAAATTTAACAATATTTTTGACAAAAACTATATAGGAATGACTATATGAAGCAAGAATTGATGTTTTATAGACTCATAGTATCCAAAAATTTAGAATCAAGACTGTCAATTAGAATGGTCCCAAGGCACAATTGTCACTTAAATTGATGTTAAGCACTATTAATATTAGATATAGTTAGTCGTATTGAAGCTACATTTTCTCAGTCAATAAATGCCCGTAATCTGTATTTTATGACTTTTCAAATGGAATTGTGTTTCGAAATATTAGAGTGAGGACATTGGTGCTTTAACCGACCGGAGAATACGACCGTTTATAGAATGGGTTTTCCATTAAGTGCTCCATATTCTCATTTTATGTCAAATAATCATATATCTATACATAATTATTCATTTTTTTAGTTTTAGAAACGTGTACATATCACCTAATTTCATACCCAATTTTCCAATTATTGTTATTATTCTCTGTATACATTTTTTTATTCTATTTGAAATTGCTTGGAGGAGGACCTTAGGTGATTGCTTTGTGGCTCAAGTTGGAGCATAATTCGAACAGAATATTTTGGGTTCGATTTGCCTCACAACTCATCTGGGGGACGAGTTGAGTTGCCCACACTCGCTTGTAGGCATGAGAGACTCATCCCATTTGACATTTGTAGACGGGAGAAGGTTGGACACTTGTCATCTCTAAGATAGTGATGTAATTTAAAATTAGATTGAAAATCAGCTAGTTTTGATACAAAATTGAAGTTTAACGACTCAATGGAAATTTTGCTGAAAGTCGAATGACCACAAATGAAAATAACCCATAAAAACTACAATAATTCTACTTCAACAAATTTGAATTACAAAAGTGAATTTACAAAGTGTGTTGGCGTAATCCAGTCCACTGATTTCAAATGATTTAAAAATTTATTTTTGAAATAATTGATGTAGATCCAACTTTATCATCCAACTTTGTCAAAGTCCTTTGACAATGTAGCATAACTCAAAAAACTAAGGCCCTGTTCTCTTTATCGTTTTCGGGCCGTTTTCTGTTTTCGATTTTTCAAAACGATGAAAACGTGTTCTCTTTCCCGTTTTTGAAAACGAATTTTCGAAAACGAAAAAAAATTTGTGAAGAAAACACAAAACGACTTTTTTGTCGTTTTGGGCGTTTTCAATGTAAAACTTGAAAAAATTGAAAACGAGGAAAACAAATTTTTTTTTTTTTGAGGGGGGGGGGGGTGGGGGGATTCTCAAAATTTAAAAAAAAAATTTAAATTAATTTTTTTTTTTTTTTAGGGGGGGTTGGGGGGATTTTTAAAATTCAAAAAAAACAAAATCATTTTTTTTGTTTTGAGAAACTAACAAAAAGAACGCATTTTCAATAATTTCAAAACAAACACTCAAAACACAAAACTCAAAATGAATTCAAAACTCAAAACACAAAACTGAAACACAAAGAGAACACCCCCTAATCCATTCTACACGCTCCAATGAAACGACAATTCATCCTCTATCCCACGTTCATCTTTGCCTTCTGCATTACTTTTCAAGCCATAGGCCCTGCACCCACCCAGTGACTATACATGTACCAGAGGAGCAGTTGGCCTCGATAGATGAGCTTTCAAACTACAATGGCTTCTTCTTCTCTAATGGTTCAATTTTTCTTGTAGCACAGTGATTTTTTCAGTCTCTTTCTCAGGATTTTATTGGTAAGAACAACTATACACATTGTCTCTGCCTCTCTTCATAAATTCTTTTCTCCAGGAAAATGGCAACAGAACCAAAAAAAGTTAAAAATGCCATTTTTGTGACCAAATTTCAGTTCTTTTTTGTGGGGCTGTAGTTTTATGGTCTTTTGTATTTTTTGTGGTTTGAAGTTCTGGAAATAAAATGTAATGATGGTACCTTTGTGAACTTCTTTTTGGAATGTAGCATCGTGATATGGTTCTTCTCGCTTTTTCTTTCTTTTCTGTGAACAGAACAGCAGTATTAGGTCTGCTGTAGACTAAATAGCTCCTGAACTGCATCAGCACTTTTCAGGTTTTCTTTTAAAAGCATAATCGAATCTTATCTGTGTATTCCTTTCACTTAAAAAAAAAATTTTGGACTAATTTTTTCTCTCTTTTTTTGCCCGTGTATTTTTAGCTTTGGCTGCTGCACTTTCTTTTTCGCTTCATCTGGGAACTGCTCTTTCCTTCCTGATCTCACATGAGTATATATGTAAAAAACTCATTTCTTCTTGATGTTTAAAATTACCTTGAACAGTTTTTGTACTATATTCTTGTTTATCTTACATTTTGCTTTATTTTCATGAGGTAAACCTTGATCTGACTTAAATTTTTTCTGCAACAGTTTTTTTGTGTTTTTATATAAATTTCTAGTCTCAAAATCCCCCATTAGCACCATGGATCCCGGCCAAAATGGAGTGATTGTTTAATTGGGTTAAGTGCCCTTAAATGGTGGACAATTTTTCTAACTGGCCCCACTTGTCTCTCCCTTGATCAAGTATCATACCTAGTCCATTGGGGGGGGGGGGGGAGGGGGGGGGGTAAATTGTCAAAATGGTGGTTTTCTTGTCATTGTCCGTTTCTCATGACAACAATGATAATGGGTATGAAGCATGCCTGAAATCTTTCAGTACTCAATGTTGCAAAAATTGAAGATCCCTTTTTGCAATCTTCTTGATTAGACATTAGGACAAGACATTATACTGATAATATGATGTTTTAGGTATATTCTGGGTTTTAATGTTTTGATTGAGTTGTGCGAGAAATGGATGATTCACGTGCATTTATTTACATTAAATTCTTAGCATTTCTCTGTCTCTCTAATGTCCATTAGCTATTCTATTGCAGGATTTGTAAGGTAGGACGCATTTAAGTAGATCTTTACAAACCAATTTCACTGTGTGGACTGGAAGAAAGTTAAGATATGCAGACTCCTAAAGCAAGGTATTTTTCAGTGGCTCTACTCTCGTTCTTTTAACAGTTTATCAGGTAAGTTTTGTACTGCAGTTTGTGAATCTTGCTATTCTTATTTTCTTGAAAGTATGTATTCCTGGTTTTTGTTGAAATTAAATCCTTGGAATAGGTTGTATTATAACTGCTGGTAGTTTTCTGTTATCTATTATGTCCTATTGAAACAGGTGAGTGTATATGTGGGGTTTGTTTTTATTTTTCTTTCTTCTTAGTGCTGCAAAATGTTCATTAACAGCTAAATTTTAGCACCAAAAGGTTGAATTCTAGATTCTCTGTTTTTCCAATATTTTACTGGATGGTGTGGCAGGGGTTGGGTTGTAGATGGGGACTTGATAGGGGGTGGGAGGAAGAAAAAAGACTTGGGAAAGGAGAACACTCTTTTTGATGAAGGCAAATTAGACGTTTAAGGCGGAAAGGTCTTTAACATATAAATTTTATAGTGGGTTATTTTTCACTTTGACTATTGAAAAATGTCCTAAAGGAATTCACCTTGTTTTATCTACCTCTGCTACTTCTGATATGATTTTTGCTACGAACAGTGAATCAAAGGGCCCTCTGATTTCCTTTTACTCTCATTATATTGTTGAACTCTGGTCCAATTTGTGTCATTCATGTTAGTACAATGCTACATCATGATGGTAAGTATTTATTGAAATAATTGTGTGATTGTCTTCCTTTTCCTTCCATTGAAATTATTGATGAGATTGAGGTTGTATTTTTGTTCCCAAGATTGAAGTGGAAAATGTTCTTTACACAATCTGCACAAACCTGGAAGTTTTGTAACTTTTGTTTGTCAAATGTTCTGGATTTATGAGCATTAACCATATATGTTACAGACAATCTCAATATTTTCAAAATTTCAACCAATCTTAACTTTCATAAAATGCTTAGTCAAAACATTCTTTATTTTGCTAATGGTTGTATTTAGAAAATATTACCATTCTTTCTTGTAATCTTCATATCATTCCATAACTTGTAATTTTCTCCTTAATCTTGATTTCTCATCTTAATGAGTTTCTACGCCCAAGTTGAAAGCTGTACAATATCATGTTACTGCTTTGTTGATCAACCACATCATTGTAGGCACTTTTCTCTCATTTTACATGGTTTTGTCCAGTTACATTAGCAATGATGTTGACATGTGAATATCGTTGATTTTCTTCTGCTGATTCCAAATCTATAGTATCTCCCACCTAAATGTTCTGTACTTTTTTGGAGCAGAAAAACTTCTACCGGAACATCTCAAAAAGCCTCTCCTCAATCTATGTCCTCTGAAGTGCCTCATAAGACCTCTCCTCGAGCTGGTTCTTCAGAAATGTCCCAAAAGAGTTCTCCTCAAGTTGTACGCAAACTGAAGACAGCTGCACGAGATTCAGATCAACCTGCCTCTTCTTCGAATTTGTATAGTAGGGTGCCAAAGGAGATAAGTCCTAAAGTTGCCGATCGTAGGCTATCCAATAGCCCGGTGTCCGAGGTACCAAAAATAAATATTAAGCTCTTGTTTGAGCCACATTTTGTGGAAAAAATGTATTATTAAATAGTGATATTTTGACATATGTGTGGTTAAAAAGTAAGAAAATTTTCGATTTATTGAAGAATGTGTGGTTGAAAATGAAATTTAAGAAAATGGGGCTCAAACAAGGGCTAAATGCCGACTTTTACTTCTCAAAGGGAAACCACAAAAAAAAAAGGACGAAATCTGTGATTTTGCTGCATATATCCTTGGCTACCCTGATCACTTCTCATTCTTTGTAAGAGATGTTACGTAAAAGTTTAAGAGAGTAAATTCACCTCGTCATGAATGTTATAATAAGATAATTTGGCTATTCTCTCTTTTTCAGCTTAATGTGGCAGTACCCCCCACGCCCACTTTTTTTTTTTTTTCATTATTTTGAGGTTGTATCGGTAGTGAATGCTTTTTCGGAAAGCCATTGTGTTTTATCGTTAACTGTCATTTTTGTGCACTAACATGATTTCAGTATCTGAAGTGCAAAATAATTTGTAGAAACAAAAGTGAGTATCAGAGACGGAATCTTGTTTGTGTTTGAAATCTCGTTGACTCTCTATATTCTTCCTTTTGTCCATGATTAAGTTCACAGAGCGTGTAATTGACATCTGTCTTAGTTATGGAAATTGTTTCTTTCGTTGAGTCCCTGGACCTTATGTCATGAATTTTCTGAGATCTTGCTAAGTATCATCAGTAGAAGGTCTTTTGAAGTGCAAAATTTTAATTCAATGCCCATGGCATCTTACAAGAAGATTTACTTCTATCAATTACTTCATAAATTCCTAGTCTTTTTGTATCAACTTGTAGAAGCAGCGTCCAAGCAAGGTTGCTGAACTAGAACACCAGATATCTCAGCTTGAGCATGATCTAAAAACTGTGAAGGATCAGCTATGCTCTTCAGAAGCATCAAAGAAACAAGCCCTGAAAGATTCAGAGGAATCGAACCAGAAGCTCTTGGCCCTATCGGCAAAACTCGAAGAATCCCGTAAGCAACTTTTGGAGCAGTCAAACATAGAGAAAGGACACATAATTGAGATTTGTAAGAACTCTGAGGAACGGGATCGGACATTACAATCTGAACTTGATGCTATAAAAAATGATCTGTCAGTCGATTCTGCTGCGTTAACCTCTGCCCTAAATGAGATCAAGCAACTTAAACTGCAGCTTGAAATGGTAGCAGAGTCTGAAGCTACCCAGACGAAGAACTCAGAATCAGCGCAAAGTGAGCTCCATAATCTGAAAGAGAAACTTGGCGAAACTCTTTTGATTGTGGAAGATATGAAAAAACAGCTGAGAGACTGCACAGAATCAGAAGCTCGTGCTCAAGTACTTGCAGGGGAAACACTAAAGCAACTGGAAATAGCAAAAAAGACCGTGGAGAGCCTTAGATCGGATGGATTTAAGGCCATTGAAGTATATGATGCTATAGCTTCTGAGTTGGGCCAGTCAAGAGCTCGCGTTACATTTCTGGAAGAGCTTGTTAGCAAACTCAAGTCTGGCACCAGTGATTCTCTAAATGAAGGTGATTGTAAAACTGATTTTGAAAGTAAAGAGAGTGAAAGAAGTGAAGAATCAATAGAAGCTGAGGTGACTTCTTCTAAACTTGAGGTTGAACGACTAAGACGTGCTTTAGAAGCAGCTGAAATCAAATATAATGAAGAACAATCTCGAAGTGCAGAACAGATGAGAAGTGCTTATCAATTGATGGAACAGATGAAGTCCCAGTCAAGCCAGAGAGAGGCCGAGCTCGAGTTTAAGCTACGGCTATCTGAAGATGAAATGGAGGAGTTGAAAGAAAATCTGATGGACAAGGAAACTGAATTACAAGGTATCTGTGATGAGAACGAGCAGCTGATGGTTAGGCTTGAAACTTCACTACAAGACCAGAGGGAATATGAACTGGAAAAGGAGCTCCAGAAATCAAAGAAAGACTTGGAGGATTTGAGAGCCAATTTGATGGATAAAGAAACTGAGTTGCAGTATGTATCAGAGGAGAACGAAACGCTGAAGTTAAAAATCAAGGAAATCAACATGGGTAACCTAAGCGATGAAGTTGCATCTGAAGTAGAGTCAGCAAGGTGTGCAGAGCAGGAGGCTCTTATGAAGGTTGAGTACATGACAGAGGAAGTTGAAAAGAATAACAGGAGGACCACTCGAATGGCTGAGCAGTTGGAAGCAGCGCAAGCAACCAATGCAGAAATGGAAACTGATTTGAGAAGGCTAAAGGTTCAGTCTGATCAGTGGAGGAAAGCTGCAGAGGCTGCTGCTTCCATGCTTCCAGTCGGAAATAATGGGAAACTCATGGAAAGAACTGGATCAATGGACAGCAACTATAGCCCTAGGATGGGAAAGATAAGTTCACCTTGTGCAGAGAATGTTGACGAAGATTTGCTAAAGAAGAAAAATGCCAACATGCTTAAAAGGCTCGGGGTCCTGTGGAAGAAGCCACAGAAATAGAAGCAGATACCACTAGTGGTTGTACTAGCAGCAGTCCCTTATCACTAAAACTATTCGCAGCGCTTTGATGTTTCCTCATCTTTTACCTATATCTCTTTAGAATGTCTGCGCATTTTGGTCGCTTAATTGTGAACCATGATATTGCTTTTCTATGTATGACAGTAATTTCCATGGCATTAGAATTCATAATTCTATTGGCTTTTCTCTCTTTCAAATTTCAGAGCACTTTATTTGCCTGATGGCCCTGATCTTGATCAAATACACCAGTGTTGTGACGAGGTGGGATAAAATTTGTTTAGCTGACAATTAATGGGATCATCTTAACACCATGCTTCCGTACACTTTGCGTGTATGGACGGAACAGTATTAAGAAAAAGAAGTTAAAGATGTTTCATGCGTCTGATGAATTGGTTTCCCCCTCTTTCTGGGATGAATTGTTTTCCACCAACCACCAATTCATAAAATTACAAATAATTTCATGCGTAGTAAACATTGATTTCTTAATTAAACATAATGTATGTAACACATGTTATGTAGGAGGTGTTTGTTTTACATTTTTTGTAAAAATAAGAATGAAAAATATAGTCATTATGATCCTATACAAATTCAAATTTGGTGACTTGATGTATCATACTTTTCATTTTAATGGAAAACAAACAGGGGCTTAATATTGAATAACCCGGTTTTTGAATTTGAAATGAAAAACAAACAGGGGCTTAATATTGAATAATCCGGTTTTTGAATTTGAATTCACCGATCTTACAGAAGAAGGTAATGTTATAAATTTAATGAAAATTTTTCTATTTCTAAAATTTGGGAAAAAAAATAAATAAATAAATTGTAGTACTTTTGAATGCTGTTCCCAAAAAACAGGGTACGTACCTAAAATTCTCAGATATTGCGAGGGCCATACAGTTGGGCTTTTAAAGGGCTAAGTCTTGGGCCTATTTTGGAGAGACAAGACGCTCTTACCATGTTACCCTAAGATTCTTTTAAAAAAAAAAAAAATCTAAAATATACTCCGAGTTGACACTTATCCTAACATGTAAGCCCTAAAAATTGTTAATTTTTAATGAAAAATTGAAGGGTGCCTAGACTTTTGACAGAATAATAAATTGACATGTACATGAGGGTGTAATATGAAGACATAATTTAATTATATAAATATCTTAAGTTTCTAATAAGATAAGATAATTCAACAAGTAAAATTAAAACAATCTTAAAAAAAAATAATATGAGAATTGAAATTGAGGTTAAATGGAACCTAGGAGTTATAGTATTCTAATTTGTGGCGACTTTGTTGATTGAAAAGGAAAATTCATCCCGCCTCGTGGAGCCATCGCTACATAGGTTACAATAGACGTGCAAATTGACGGGTCGACTAGGCCTAGCAAAAGCATGTTTTTATTTTTTTGAATCCCGACATAAATTATATTTGGGCTATTGTATTCAACTATTTTCATTTGGGATAATTGCAACAACGGTTCCTAACTTTTCACTTTTTGTAGATTTTATCATAACCTTCATTTTGTACCATCCACATAGTCTCAAACCTTTCAAAAACTTGCACATGTGGTCCAAACGTCCATTTTACGGTTAGTTGACCAAAAAAGTCAAAATTTAATCAATTTTGACCAAATTAAAAAGGACAAAATGGTACTTTGTATTTTTCGTCACATTAAATAAGTTAAAATTAAAATTAAAATCCGATTTACCATCATACTGACTACACACGCATCGCTAACTTCACCTACCACCAGAGCAAGTCCTTCAACCCATTTACGACATTAACAACATAAATGAAAACCTCAAGTTACTTTAAAATAGAGGAAACTATCATCGTGGTTAAGAATGAAGAGGAAGCCAGGGGGATGTCGAGAGTGGGATTGATGTCATTGAGGAGGAGGAAGCTTTTGGTTGGCATGATGAATTTTCAAGCTATCATAGTTGGCGAGAGGTATCACTTGAAGGTTTCCGTCGAGCTTCCAAATTTTGCAAGTGTTAGATGGGGTGTTTTTGACTAATGGCATGATTGATGGTGATGGTGGTGATGGTGATGGTGACAACGACAGCAATGGTAGACGATGATTGGTAATAGTGATTTTGGTTTTGGAGTAGGGGAGGGCTTTGGATAGGAATGTGGAAGAGGATAATTGTGGGGGATGATTATTCTTTCAATTTTTTATTTAATTATTTAATGTGAGAAAATTGAATAGTTACTATTTTGCGCCTTTAAAATTGGTTAAAATTAGTCATAGTCTATTTTTCTTGGTTAAGTAACGGTAAATGGATTATGGCACTCAGGTGCAAATTTTTGAAAGGTTTGAGATTGTGATTGACACAAAGTGAATGTTAAAATAAAGTCTACAAGAAAGTTAAGGGTTATGGACTGTTCTTGCAATTATTCCATTTTATTTTGACAAAAAATTTGAAAAAATTAATAGGAGACTCGTTCTATTAGAGGTGTTAAGAGGGACGGGCCGACCAGACCCGTGAAAATCGGCTCGGATTGACCCGAAACCCGAGTCGGCGATTCACGGGTCAAGGAGGTGTGATCTGTGGGTTTCGCGGGTTGCACCTTCACGGGCCGTGGTTAACCCGCTGGCCCGTGAAAAAAAAAAATTTTAATTAAAAAATTTTGAAAAAAAGAGGGGGGGGGGGGGGGGAGAGATGATTAACAAAATTATTTAGTACCCTACAAGTATTGAGCATGCCTGCCAGCATGCATGCAGGCTACGCCTACAACAGGCGTAGCCAGTAGCTTGCATGCTTTGAACCCCATTATATCTCATTACCATCCCACTTTTTGCCATTTTTTCAACCACACGTGGGCCCCATGTGTCAAGGCCAACTGATATTGCAGTTCATTTGTGAAATTGGCTTTGAATAAACAATTAATCTACATGACTAAAAGACTACAATAACCCTACAATATTAGGTGTCGACAGAGGGGCTATGCATTGGGGGGTAATTTTGTAAATTAATAATTTAAAGTGGAGGTGGTTTTGGTCCTTACAATTTCCAACGATCATTTCCTCTGACGATTTGTACCTGTGTGCACACATGGGCCTACTTTAGTAAAAAAAGTTGGGTTGAAAAATGAAATTAATGTGATATAATAGGGCGCAAACAGGGGCTAATATTTTTTTTTCTAACGGTAAAATCGGATTTCATCTGTAAATTCCAGTTAATTGGTAATATTTATCTCACTTTCAAAGTTTCAATTGCAAATATCATCATCATTTCTATTATATTTCTTTCTTCTCACTACTAAACTGTTTAATACTACTATATTATGGATTCTCGCGATTTTTCTTCTCAAAATCCTATTTTCAATGATAGTTGCTCCCCAATAAATTTAGAAGATGATAATGTTGTAGAAGTTCGATCATCTCAAAATTCAAGGAAAAAAACAAATATTAGAGGTGTGGCAAATTTTTATAGTAAATGAAAAGGATGGAAAAGCAGTATGCGATATCTGCAAAAAAGATTATATCTGGAGATATGGTCACGCTACGGAGACACAAAGAGAAACATCTAAATGAAACAGGACATTTGGATTCTAGCAAACTCAAATTACTGGTTTTACTAATGCTAGTGGATCAGTTACTTTTACTAATTTTGTTTATTCGCAGAAACGAATGCAAGTTGGGATGTCGGAATTTTTAGCAGCTCGTGAGATGCCCTTCACATTTGCAGAAGATCAGTATTTTGAAGAGTTCCTGCAAAAGTACATTCAACCTTCTTGCAGAAGCATAAGTAGAAATTCTGCTCGTTCTAATTCTATGAAATTATTTCATACAATGGCTGAGAATTTAAAAAATTAACTTAAAAAAATTGATGGAATTATGTGTTTCACGTCTGATTGTTGGTCTGGACGAAATCATAATGGTTATGCTTGTGTTACATCACATTTCATTGATAATAATTGGTTATTACATAAGAGAATTATTGCTTTTCGTTTACTTGAATAACCACATAATGGTGTAAATTTGTGTGAAAATTTATTACAAGTTTTTAATGAATTTGGTGTGTTAAATAAACTATTTAGTATTACCTTTGATAATGCAAGTGCTAATAATGCATGTATTGAGCTTTTAATTAGAGCGGTTACACCCCTATATGATTCTAAATTATTTCACATGCGTTGTGTTTGTCATATATATAATTTAGTTGTGCAAGATGGTTTAAAATTAATAACACCACAAATAAGTATAATTAGAGAATTTATTAATTATATTTCTTGTTCAGATTCTAGACAACAAGAATTTGCAAAAATTTGTAAAAATCTTGGATTGAGAAGAAGAAAATTTGTTGATGATGTTCCTAATAGATGAAATTCAACTTTTTTAATGTTAAAATCGTGTGTTGTCTATACTAATGCTATTAATGCATTTGTTAATTCAAAGCAAAATCAATTTTATATAACTTATCCGGACTGGGAAAAAGCATTTAAAATTATGAAAATTTTGAAACCTTTGTATAAGGCAACAAAAGTTAGTTCTGGAGTTTATTATCCAACTAGTAATCTTGTACTTTTACAATTAGTAGAAATTGGTGAACAGATTTCATCATTTAGAGACGATCCATTTTTCTTTCAAATTATTTACTCAATGGAGGAAAAGTTTAAAAAATATTATGAAAACATGCTACTAATTTTCCCAGTGGCAGCTGTAATGGATCCTCGCATTAAGTTGTTTGGAGTTCATTGTGCTTTAGAATCACTTTTTGAAACATTAGCTTTTAACATAAATATTACAAATCGACAATTGGATATTTTTATTAATGAAATGTTTAACAACTATTTTATTAAATATGGTAACAATGAAAATATTTCTTTTTCTACAAACTCTAGTACAACTTCTAAAGGCAAATCTTCTTTTTTCTCCTTAATAGCCAAGAAACGTAATGTTCTTGGTTCTTCATCTACAACTTCAACTGCAAATCCAAATACCACACCTGGTGAATTAGAAAGATATTATCAATTTGATCATTATAGTTTAATACCTAAAGATGAAGTGAATAATTTAGATATTTTACGATGGTGGAAATTAAATGAGCGGTCATACCCTGTATTATCTAAAATGGCACGAGATCTACTAACAATTCCAGTTTCAACAGTGGCATCTGAGTCTGCTTTTAGTGTAGGTAACAGGGTATTGGACGAAAGAAGATCTAGACTTAAAGAAGATATTTTGGAAGCTCTCATATGCGTGAAAGATTGGATATTCACGGATCGAAGGATGCAAGATAAAATTATTGATGATGTTGCTGAATACTTCAAAAATCTTGCAATTCCTGAAGATTGATTGGGAAACAAATATATAATTTTTGAACAACTAAATTATAGTTAAGCAGGTGCCAACCCAGTTGGGATGTACTTAAACTATAAATCATAGTAAAAGTAGGTGCCAACCTAGTTGGGATGTACTTATACTATAAATATTTGATAATAGTAATTAGAAATGCAGTTAGTTGCTATTTGTTTAAGTTAAATTTAACTTTGCAAAGTTATAAATAATTCATGTAACATTAAATTTGAATTCTATGTAAACATTTCTTGGTATAATTATGAATTTATCATTTTGTTCAATTCTTAGTTTACATTTAACAAAAAAAATATTTTTTGCTATAAATATGAAATATTTTATATTTTTATAATTTTATTTATACAATTATACGGGCCAAATCGAAACAAACTGCGACCCGTGACCCGCATGGGCTCGACCCGGATGGGTTAGCGGGCGGGCCTGGGTTGTAGTCCAAAATTGTGGGCCGACCCGGAATCGGCCTGCAACCCATAGCGGGCGGGCTTTTTTCACGCGGACCGTTACGAGGCCCATATGTTGACGGGCCGACCCGGCCTGGACCACCTGGATTGACACCTCTACGTTCTATCAATGAATTAGACACTCAAGTTTTATGCGACCTGCCTTAGGCCAAATATTGGCAAAGTGCTTACACCCAATTTTACAACTATTTTATCATTATAATATTATCGCCGTCGATAATAGCTACACAATTAAAAGGTAGGGAACTGTGCTGTCATGAAACTTTAGTCGTAGGCTATGCTGTGACAAAGCTGTTAGATTTAGGAAAAAACTTCAATTTTCCCATATTAAATGGTCATTCAAATTTTCAAGCTAGATGCTAATATTATTAAATTCTACTATTTCACGCCCGAATCTCTCGAGAGATTTGGCCTGGCGACAGCCGGAAATCTATCTTGAAATTAGTGCTAATGCTCGCTGAAATTCTAAAGCTCAGGGATACGAGAACTGCGGGGATTTATTTAACATATAATTATTCCTTCATCAGTCTCCATCACATTTTAATAATCACATGATCTAGGAAACAATCATGAAATTATATCTTGAAAACTAGCTACTCTTTCATGTCATGGTCGGTATAATAAAATCGATTAAAGAATAAAAAAGTTGAAGTATTTGTCGTTGTAGAGTACACAATTTAATATTTAAAAAGAATTACAGTATGTTTGATGATAATTTCGATTTAAGAATTCTTACTCGAACAAAAGAGCATTTAAAAATCTTAATGGTTGAATTTACTTTGGTTTTTCATATTCCAAATCTACTTTTTGTTGCACTCTACGAACCCAATCTCAATCATGATTCACAACTTAACGACTAAGTGCCTAAGTTTTGTGAGTTTTCTTGCCAAAATCATGGTTCTATGCCCTTATTTTTTTTAAGGGTGTGCCTCAAAATTAGGTTTTGGAATTTTCAAAATTACGTATGAGATTTGGAAAATCAATTGAATCCAAAATTAAGGAAATAAGATTTGAGCTCCAAATTTTTCCTTTTACATGATTTTCCTTAATTGTAACATAATTTCTTATTTTTTAGGACTCTATTAGGATTATAGACGTGGCCTATATATTAAAGGCTCCTCTATCAGTTTTATAGAAGCTTTTTTGCTGTTCAGTTGTAATCTCTCAATATTGTCGGGTTTAATAAAATTCATCGTTTCTTTACTTAGTTTCTTTTTTGTATTTTACTTTAATCTTGTTTTCATGTTGCAATCTTGAATATTTTATTATTGTCATTAAATCTCAATCTTGCGTCGCCTTTGAGATTAACAAGTGGTATCAGAGCACGGGTTTCAGTTTCTTTGTGATTTGGTTGAGAATTTTCAAGGATTAATTTGTTGAAGTATGAAATTTCGCTATTGGATCGCAATACAAGATTTTCGCTGTGACAAGTAAAGGTGAGGGCTGTGTTGACGCAGATGGATCTTGACGATACTTTGCTGGGTTTTGAGAGGATGCCAACAAATTTGTCTACGGGGGAGAAACGACGGAGGGATCGAAAGGCTCTAGCGCAAATTCATTTTTATTTATCTAATAATATTCTGCAGGATGTCTTGAAAGAGAAGACGACGGCTGCTCTGTGGCTCAAGCTGGAGCATTTGTGCATGACAAAGAGTCTGACGAGCAAACTGACTCTAAAGCAGAAGCTGTATTCCCATCACATGGCGGAAAGAGAGTCACTGCAGGACCATTTTGCTGTGTTCAAGGAGATTGTTACAGATTTGGAGATGTTGGAGGTAAAATATGATGCAGAGGATTTGGCCTTGATCCTGTTGTGTTCGTTATCCAGTTTTTTTTGTCATTTCGTGATACTATATTTATAGTCGTGACATGTTGACCATTGAGGAGGTATATGACGCCCTATTCTCAAAAGATAAGAAAGAGCTGTTGGTTGGAGATCCTACATTTAGGGGTGGGGATGCTCTGGTTACTCATGGTGATCGACGGAGGGGTAGATCGAAGGCGAGGTACAACAATGTGTATTGTTATTACTGCAAGAGGAAATGACACATTAAGAAAGATTGCGACAAGTTACAGGGTAAAGGTGATTTACATATAAATCATACGGGGCAATCAAGTAACGAGACTAACGTTGTTGAGAATTTTTTCGATGATGGAGATATAATGTTGGTTGTATCTGATGGGGAATCCAAATATGGGGAGTGGATTCTGGATTCTACATGTTCGTATCATATGTATTCCAATAGGGCTTTGTTTCAGACATATGATACAGTAAAGTAAGGTGGCGTTGTCATGGGAAACAACCAATCTTATCGGGTTGCAGAAGTCGATCGGGTCAGATTGAGGCTACAAGATGGGACAGTGAGTACACTTGATCAGGTTCGTCATGTTCCAAACTTGACAAAGAATCTCATATCTCTAAATACCCTGAATGCAAAATGGTATAAATTCTCTGGTGGAGGTGGAGTCTTGAAGGTCCAAAGGGGTGTTCGGGTTGTACTGGAGGGATGGAATAAGTCTCAGTTGTACATTTTGCAAGGAAAATCAGAATCAGTTAAGAAACATCTGGACAAATTCAGTATCGTGGTAGATATTCAATTTGGTACAGCACCTCTTGTAATGGGCTCTAAATCGGTTCAAAACATTGCTCAGGGGAGCGTTATTGATTCTACTTTGCTATCAATTTCAGCGGTTGCACAATGTTCAAATGTCGGGGGTGGACTCATGGAGCGTAGGTACAGTGCTGCTATTGATGTCTGTAATACTTTTGGGATCGTTGAAGATAACAGTTTTGGAAAGGGACCTTCTGATCAAGCACTTGGTATGGTTTCTGCTACAGGGTGTGTTTCAACCCTGTTTTGTCAACAGTAATTCCTCGATGAAATTTTGGGAACCCGAGATTTGGGTTCGGGTGTCGTTTATCGACGCGTGCAGAGGATGATGGTTTGGTGATGGAGAGTTTTAGATACTGCGTTGAGGAGATTGGCCAGTTCATTTCGATGCAGATGGATTTTAAATCTTGAAATTTCATTCGTTGCATCGAAATTTTAAGTCAAGGTGGAGATTGTTAAGGCTGTGGCTCAAAAGTAGGCTTTAGATTCATCAAGATTATGTATGAGATTTGGAAAATCAATTGAATTCAAAATTAAGGAAATAAAATCTGGGCTTTGAATTTTTTCCTTTTATGTGATTTTCCTTAATTGTAACCTAATTTCTTACATTTTAGGACTCTATTAGAGTTATGGACGTGACCTATAAATTAAAGGCTCATCTGTCAATTTTATAGAAGTTTTTTTGCTGTTTAGTTGTAATCTCTCCATATTGTCGGGTTTAATAAAATTTATCGTTCCTCTACTTAGTTTCTTTTTTGTACTTCACTTTAATCTTGTTTTCGTAGTGCGATCTTGAATATTTCATTATTGTCATTAAATCTCAATCATGCGTCACCTTTGGGATCAACAATTTTGATGCATTTTTCACATGAATTTTCTTCATTTTCCTGCCATATTTTCTCCTCTATTATTGCAAGATACGTTAAAGGAAGTTGTGTGAAGTCCAGGGAGATTATAGGAAGTTATAGGTCTGGATTTCAAGTCCAAAACTTTTTTTTCTATCGATTTTAAAATCTTACAAGTCTATCATTCCATACGGACGATCCACGACCCTTTCTTCTAACAAATATGTTAAGATACCTCTTTAATACAGTATAATATTCATCCAACAAACACTGCCATTATCAAGTACTAATTTCAAAGTTCAGTGTGTTCAGACTGTCCAGGGACTATAAAACATAATTGTCAATTTCATGGTCACTTTCTCAAAGTTAGCAGACAAAATTGAAAATACATCACCAGTTTCTTACTTTAATGGAGAGAAGAACAAATTTGAAATTTCATTAGTTCAGAGACAAGAAAAGAACAAAGGAATGATTCAAGTGAATCAAATCTCTTGATACAAACAAAACTAATAATATAAAAATTAGATATTCTTGTTGCATATCTTGATTTTTCTAACTGAGTCTCTCTCTACATGAGAGGGGTATTGAGAAGTCCATGCCAAGATGTGGCAATTCCATTCACATTATTTGCATCCCCATTGCCAAATTGCTGCCATGGGAATCCCCACAATTCTCTTCTTTCATCTTCTCTTGTATTGTGCATTTCTTGCTTCGCTCTTGTTTGTGCAGCACTCAGCTCTTCAATTTGCGTGTTCGTCCCACCAGTTCCCAAATATCCCATGTTTCCATTCCCGTAGTACGGATTGTGAAATTCATGATTCGGGATTTCAAGAAATCGGCTCCTAAATTCATCGAAAAGCCCAGAACCGTAACAAGGGATGTTGGGATTACCTAATATGGAATAATCGTGGCCGTCAAATCCCATTACTCCGGTTGCCTGATGTGGAAGACCGGCAATTGCAAGGCTGAGATCACTGGAATCATATGATAGAGGTGTTAAAGAAGAGCTAGAAGGACTGGGGGAACTTGCTGTCAATGGTTGATCTTGGCTTCTCTTTGCTGATGCTCTTTTGTTCTTCCTGCACCCTCCACCCATTGGAACATTTCTCAATGTTCCACCTTTAGTCCAGTACCTCCTGCAAGATTTACAGAAGTACCTTGGCTGTGAAAGACTGTAATTATTGTAATAACAAAACTTGGTGTTGTTGGAATCACATCTAGGGCATCTCAGGGATTGCTCACTAGGCCTTGGCTTCTTTTCTTGCTGGAGTTTTGTGCAAACCAACATGCTTTCTAGTGTTTGGGAACCCATTTCCTGAACAACAACAAACGAATTATAATTAGAGAAAGAAACCCTTGTGGGTTATTGAGTCAAGAACCCAAAATCACTCCAAAAATTGAAACTTAAATGAGAAAAATATATAAAAAATGAATCAACAAAGACTTGCATATCCCACCTGGTTGTGTTCAGTTGAAGGATCCATCCATGCAACAATCAAATCTCCTCCTGAGTTGAAAAGAGTCTTGGATGGGTATATATCTATATGAGTGTGTAAGTAAAAACGAAGAGATTGAGAATTATTTTTTGAGAGAATTAATGGAAGTTTTGCAAGATAGCTCCACTCAAGCCTCTACATCCAAATATATATAGAGTGGGAGAGAATGTGTAAGATGAGCATTCACACGCAGAGAGAGACTAGAGATTGAGTAAGCTGTCAGCCAATTCTGTGATGGGACCCAGTGGCGTGGCTATGCAAGTGGACCCACCTAAATGCAAATACATCGAGTTAAAGTAGAAAAAATTCAGTATCGTTCTAATTTTGAAGGTCTTTAAGATGGTCCCCTATAATTTAAACTTCAAGTGGTACAAATTTAAATTCAGTCAGCTCTTAACCTACAAGCTTCAAGTCCGAAGATTTAGATTAGTCTACTAAAGGCCTATATTCCTGCAAGGTTCTAAATTGTCAATGGGTGAAAGGATAAAATATATATGCATATGTGGTTTTCGGCCAAGCACAAGCTTCGAAATTGTCAAATTTGTAACGGTTATTGATTGAACCTAATAGGAAGTACGTAGGATGTATATCCTATGCCTTCCACAAGTTTGAAGAGTCACATGGTGCTCAAACACCAATGCCAATCTTGAATACATCGAATGACGTATTGTCCTTGATTTTCCTCTTATTTTCAACTTCATTTTCTAGCACTTTTTTCAAGTTTCCCGTGACTACATATGAATAAGGAGTAGTGTCAAACCTTATTTTTATGGGTGCCCCTCTCAAAACCAATTTATCCAAAATTATGAGTTATTTTTTTATTAAACTTGCTGTCTTTTTTTTTTTTTATATTACAACTGATTTTATACTTGTAATTAGTGATGTAAAATGACGTGGTAATAGTAAAACCTTACCAAGTCAATTACCTAGGTTCGGGTCTCATTTCGAGGAAAAGGGTGAAATTCGAAAAAGAAGATTTATTAGATTTTCCACATGCATATATCGTGTTTGTTGATTATGTCAGCCTTTGTTTTTTTATATACTATTCAGCTCAACACAATTTAACAAAATTAGGAGCAGGGTCGAATCTCTACATCAATGGTTATGTATCTTGGGTTTAAAAACCATTTACACAGTGAGCTTTTGGGTTTATAATTTGTACCATTCAGGTCACCAAACTCAATTTCTTGCAAAACTAGTTTTAGACTTCTAATTTCTCACTCTAGTTAGCAGCCATGCTCAACTCAGTCTTTGAAAATTAACGAAATTTGCATGTGAAATAAATTGTAATAATTAGCTGCATGGGATAAATTTCTACTTATTTAGTCTAGCCCGTTATAATTTACTATAATAAAAAAACATGTTTTGCTACTCATTGAATTAAAATCAAGATTTGAGAATAAAATTTCTAACCCTTTGTGGGGCCCGTAGAAATGCAGTAGATATTCATAGGGTTGTAGGTTGATATAGACAAATAATGATGATAGGACAACGTGGGGTAGGCGACACTCATTAGACAGAGAGTATCCACTTTATTGTCATGCTTCCCAGTTTTATTGCTTTCGTTCACATTGCCTCTCATTTCGGCTCGATCTTGGTATGGCGAATTGTCATTGGCATCACTATCAAACTCTATTATAGCCATGAGCAACTTTGCCCATAGGTAGGGTTTATATTGTCGAAATCTATCTAATACTGTTTACATTAAATAAGTATTTAGTGAATATATACACTAATGCTTGTGCATAAGAAAAGGATGTTCGGTAAAATTTTTGATAAATAGTTTGGTGGATATCAAGAAAGTTGGAGAAATCTATGGTCGAAAAGATATGGTTTGCCGTGTTGATAAAAGTGGTTGTCTATTTAGCCCTAATTGATCTGATTTCAGAGCGCCGTCAATCTTCTTAGCCACGCTCGAGTCTTTCCCCTCTTTCCAACTTCGAACAAGCCCATATTCTCTCTCTTGTGGGCTAGCTC